AATACAAATTCGTAGTTATAGCCATAGACTACTTCACCAAATGGGTAGAAGCTGAATCCCTAACCAGAATCACAAACCAAAAGATAAAGGATTTCATATGGAAGAGTCTAGTCTGCTGCTTTGGAATACCACATATCATTGTAAGCGACAACGCCAAGCAGTTTGATAACAGACTCCTCAACAGTTTTTGCGCGGACCTCTAAATTAAGAAACCTCACTCCAGCCCTGCCCATTCACAGGCAAATGGGCAAATAGAGGTCACTGTCAGAACCATACTCCGAAACTTGAAAGCCAGGCTAGAATCCACAAAAGAAAAATGGGTAGATGAACTTTCAAGAGTGCTATGGGCCTATCGGACGACACTAACAGGTCCTACGGGTGAGACCCCATTCTCCCTATCCTATGGGACAGAGGTGGTGATACCTGTTGAAATCGGGGGTACACTCCCTTAGGGTCTAGCACCATGATCCTACCAATAACGAAGAAGGCCTTCACATCAACCTCGACTTGGTGAAGAAGGAGAGGAAAATAGCTATGCTCAGGAATGCAGAGTACAAGCGTCGCATGACCAAGTACTACAACTCGAGGGTGAAGCCTCTTGTCTTCTTACTTGGAGGTCTAGTCCTAAAAAATGTCATCTTGTCTACCAAGGACTCCCGGGAAGGGAAACTGGGACCCAATTGGGAAGGACTCTATATGGTCACAGAGGTGGTGAGACCAGGTACCTACAGACTCCAGAATTTTGAGGGAAAAGTCCTGGCCCATCCATGGAATGCAGAACATATAAAGAAATACTATCAGTAGCTGGGGGCAGTGAATCGTGAGTTGGTGTCTATTGTTTACACTGTTTAATTTTTTTTATCTTAGTCATTTTTTTATGTTAGTTGATTTTGTTCTTTAAACATCCACTTTGGATTATGAAATAAAACTTCTTAACATTTTCTCCAAAAGTTGTATTTCATTTAAAGTCATGAACCTTTTACAAAAAAGATAGACATAGTCTATTCTATTCAAATCATGAAACTTTTACAAAAAAGATAGACATGGTCTATTCCATTCAAGTTCATGAACCTTTTTACAAAAAAGATAGACATGTTCTGTCAACAAAAAACGCAAAGGCACCACACTCCTAGTGACTCTCACTGTCGCCACTTACATAGTCCTGATCATCAGACTCAAGAGTCTCGTAAGGCTTGAAGCCAGAAAAATTATAGGCAGGGAATGCTGCAGAGACTTCCTCCTGAACTCATCGTAGCCGTCCACAAAGGCACTGGCGCTGGCCCTCTCCGCAACAAGTCCAAGTCCATACCACTCCAAGTCCAAGCTCAAGATCATCCTTCGACAGAATAGGGACACGAGCGAGATAATATCGGAATGCGGAAATCTATTCTTACTAAGGTTATACTTACCAAGATAGTGGAATACCCCTTCCTCACGTCACCACCTCACCGCCTTGGTGTGCCTATATAATGTAAGTCTTCTACATATAGAGGATATGCTCTCATAGTTTTGAGATCCCTACACACACTACACTTTTCTACACACACTGCTCTCTCTCTCTCTCTCCAAAACACTGTAATACTCCTGGAGAATACTCTCTCTGGTGACTTCACTTATTAATAAAAGATCCAGGCCACTGTTGTCGTTCCCGAGAGTAGAGTAGGTCATCTAGACCGAACCACTATAAATCCCTGTGTTAGCTCCATTATTTACCGCTTTACCATTAATTGTTTGTTTATTGATCATTGATTGCCTCTATTCATATTCTTGACTGTTGATTTTGTACGAGACCAATTTGTGCATCATCAAGTTGTTAGAACAAAACTCCCGTTATTGAAAGTAGAAAATGATAAGAAGTGTTTTTCATGATGAGTGCTTAAAGAACATTGGTGTGGTGTTGGCCTAAGGTTCTGTGATGCTCGTGTTTGATTCTCCGAAACTAGAATGAAAACTAAACACCGATGACTTTTTGTGTTTTGCGTAAGCTTTGTGTCCAGGAGGATTGTATATGTTGTTCACGGAAAATAGTTGTTTTTTATAGAGGGGGAAGAAAATGTAACCGTTTTGAGGATGGGGGTGATGATGATGTGATAATTGACTGTTGATTTGGCGGGAATAATTTGTTCTATTGTAATTATGTGGTACCGAAATTTTTTTTTTAGTACCGTATAGAAAATTATTAATTTTTAAAGGTGAATTTATAATTAATTGAGGTAATTTCATGATTTGGAACTTCACCTTTAAACTGTGTAACTTGTCAACTTCGTTCTTTGTTCAAGCGAAGATTTCAAATTGACATGTAGATGGATTTTATGCCCGAAACAGAGTTTTCTATTGTAGTTCTAAAGATGGCAAGTACTCCGTATCAAGAGGATTATCAAGTGGAAGGATCATAATATCGTACAATAACGTTAAAGATGGAGGCCCAAGTCTCAGAATTACGAGGCACTCTACAAACGTTTCATCAAGCCAAGGAAGATTGATCAGTACAATTCAAAATAGCAATGCTATTGAAACATAATTTCAAGATATAATGAGTTGTCATCAATGATATGATAGTGAATTCATTTAATGCTACAATGAGACCTATCATTAAATACATTTTACTGTCATTTCATTAGTGACAACTTATTATGTCCTCAAATTATGTACTTCCATTATGTCCTAATAGCATTAATGATTCAAAATTTAGGCTCAAACTTGTTTTGGACCCGCTCCGAACCAAGTGACGTGGGACTCACGATGATGATTCCCACCACACTACCATCCGCGGTCACAACTGCTGCTGGCATGCCTTGTCCATTTGGGTAATAAGTCGCTTCCTGAGTCGTTCCATTCCGCACACCATTCCCTCTCGATTTTTCACAGGTTCTACCACAACTAGTTTTATCATAGTAAGGATAAGATGCTAGGCAAAAATGCTATGAGTCATGCCGCTTAAGCATGGCAAGAGTCTTCTTCTCTGTTCCTACCTCTCCGACGATTGAGATGACCTGCGTGTCACCTGGTCTCCGATCAATCATCATATGGTTGTTGGAGCTGATTTGAAAGTTTCAGAAAGAACTAGGAAAGATCTGTTCTGGGAATATCTGTAGAGTCCATTGGAGAGTATCAATCAGGCTGCAAGTACATATATGGAGGACTTTTCAGTTATAATCATCTAAGCCCCAAAAAGTCAGACTTTGTATCACAGAAGGAGTGCAACAATTCTGCAAAACCCATGTTATATCCTCTGTTCTCCAACTCAGTAACCCTGGGAGAAATCCAGTTTTTCTAAGACTCAAGGTCACACCTTTTAGGCATTTTATTTTTTGTAAATCAGCCCCTAGATTGGACACAAATGATTGCACAAGGGCGGAAAAAAGGCATGAAACACAACAAACAGGACTGCAAGCTATGGACATGCTAAACTATGAAGTTTTGAAAAAAGGACTAGCAAAATACACTGCCTAAATGTGCTAGCCTAAGCCATGTGACTAGGTAACATAGTTTGCTTTCCAAGCAAAAGTAGAGTTTCTTCATTAGGGATTGTAATTCTGAGAAGTATCATTATATACCTGCACAAGAATTTTTTTTCACTAAAATAACTCATAATTTGCTTAGAAGGTAAACCTGACTATAAAAGAAGTTTTGTGAGAATTTGTGCATCTAACACAATAGAACCCAATTTATTTGTATTTCCTTGTGTTCTTTTTCTATTCTCCATCGTAGGCAATGAACATGCCATTGTGTTGATGGGAGAAATCTTTTTCTAAGCTGGAAGGAAGGCTAACATAGAAGATTGAAGACTTGACCACCATTTGACTTGCCAACCTAAAAGTAAGTATTGCCCGGATAAAATTTTCTGTACATTCCATAGAATTGAAATAACCGAAATACAGTGAGCTTGCCATTCATAATGAATATGACTTATTTCCAACCATAATACATCAGTACATGGGGAGAAAAATGCCACAGAAAAGAAAAAGATATAGCACTTCGGCTACAATAACAAGGTTTTCTGTCCATGCCCAATGTTCCATTAATTTAATCAATAGGTATTTAAACAAGATTGGTGCCATTGAACTCCAAATTAAATCTTCAGATGAAACCAATCACAAAAAGCGAAAAAAAGAAAAATCAGTTATGTTTCTCATACTTTTGAAATTCTATGACAAAATGAAGCACTGATTAAACTTTAAAGAATTCTTCATGCATGACTGAATTTTTAGTTTTATCTGTCCTAAGAGAAAATAAAGTTGGGACAGACATCGAACTTACCTAACTGATACCTATGCACTCTAGCTGTTGTAATCGACCCTTTTTTAGGTGTTCAAAGATTGATAATGTTAGGTGTCTTTTATAAGAGTAATTCATTTCCCAAATTGCTGGTAGAAATACATCAATGCCTTCATTTCCCATATTTCAAGCCAAACATATACGATAGTAGGATCCATTAGATTAATGAAAATGATGCAAGAAATTCTACAAAAACAAAGAGTAAAAAAGTTTGTCATAACAAACAAGAAACTTGTTTTATTGAAAACAGTTGTAAGAAACACACTTTTTCACTAATACATACTGGAGCCATTTCTTGTAGCTAACATTGCAATTTCGAAAATGTTCGCAAAACATCAAGCGGTAAACTTATGTTATGACCAAAAGAATACCACATGATATTCAGAAGTAGAACCAATGGTTTATACTGAACAAGAAGATTAGAATGAATATCCCTCCCTCTCTATCTCTTCCGAGAGTGCTCCAAAGCCTTGTAGAGATGTAGAGAAAAATCAGATTCTGATAAAAAGTTTTGCTGGTTTAATCAGCACCACTGAAACCATGACAAGAGGGCCAAAGACTAAAAATGCTAGGCATTAGGGATTAAAATGAATCATTGAACACCATCAACGGTTAACTTGCAGGAAAAATAATTATATCTACAAGACAACAAAATTGTAAGCAAAGGTACAGGAATAGAAAGACTAACCTCACACAAGGATAAGATCAGCTTTTTTGCAATATCAATCTTTTATGATGATGGAAGGTACATGTGCAATCTTATGCCAATCTTGCCCCTGACTTTCAGAAATCCTTGCTTTGAATTCATCAGGCATATTTGTGATCATCAATTCACGACAATGAAGCAAGAATTTCAACCCATCTGGAATCATTTCCAATTTATTGCAGGATCTAATCTCTACTTGTCTTAGAATTGTCAGAGTTCCTTCCACCACTGTCCACTCGTCCAATTCCTCTAGCTCCCAAAGTTTCAAGATGCGAAGTAGAGGAATGCCTCCAGAAGAGCAAACCATTTTTCTCCCACAATAGGAGCCTGCATATAACCCAAGTATCCTTAAAATTGGAAGTTTCTCCAATTTAGGCATAGGATCTTCTATTAGTCCGGACACTGACAAGGTAATCTCAGTGAGACTTTTAGGGAAGTTGTCCATGATTACTGGATTCACTATCCTTCCAAACAAATATATGCTTGAAAGCTTCTTGAGGCCTGACAATGGCAGTAAGTATATGTTTGAAGCTTGAGCCGCTTCATGATCAAGCGATCTCAACCTTAAAGATTCAAGGTAGTTCAGTTTTGTAATCCAGTTTGCCAATGACTTCTGCTCTAAAAGAATTAATTGAAATGCCAGGCCTAGCTTTCTAAGATTGATCAATCGGTCCAAGCCATCTTTGATAGGGGTCTCCTCATTCACATATGCTCCCCATAGTGTTTGGATGTCTATTAGTGTGTTATTATTTCGTGGAGGCACAAATTTGCAACAAAAAATTTCGCTCAAGTATAGGAGTTGCAGTTGTTTCATCTTCCATAAGGAAACAGGGAGGGTGCTGATGTAAGTGCGCTTTAAATCCAGTGTTCGAAGGTTCAACAGTTTTCCTATTGATGAAGGAAGTGTCTGTAAATAAGTCCATCTCAAGCCCAAATACCTCAACGGAGTTAGTTTCTCTATGGAGTCAGGTAATTTAGGCCGAAATACACCTTCAAGATCAACTACTTGTAACTTCTTGAAGCATCCCACTGCAATGCATTTAAGAAAAAAATTGCCTATTTCTTCTCCAGGTACCGGTCCTTCGCGAGAATCAAAGGAAACAAAGGAACAGAGTTCTCCATAAATTTTTTTTAAGGAAGAACTACTTACGGTATTGTTGCCATGAATGTGTGGGAAGCACTCATCTTGCTTGTCAAGATGATCAGCTAGTTGGAGGACCATACTTGTGTAGTGGGAAGACTTAGAGGCAGATCCTTTGCTGTTGACAGGAGGAGAGTTGGCTTCCTTGGCTTTTGACAACCAATTACCCCTCAAGAGATGGTGCATGCGACATGTTTTTGGTTTTTTTCGGAGTAAGTAAATTGCGTCCAAACTTGAAAAATATAGTCAAAAGCGTCTTCGATTATGGGCGGGATCGTCTCCGTCTTCTTCTGGGTAGGAGGGAATGGATTCACTGGAAGGAGCCTGATGAAATAACCTTGGCCTGTTGGGATGGTTAACAATGGGAACAAATCTCAAGAAAAATTGCAGAGAGACATTTGGGCGTCCAAGAAGCTAATTATTTAGGGCCGACTCAACTTGCACTCCGGAATCTCAATTTGTACATTTAAAATTTAAAAATATTAATTAATATCCTAAAAGATATAAATAAGTATTAATATATACTTGAAACTAACTAAAAAAGTTTAAATTAATTATAAATTATACATTTTAAAGTTTAAATATTTCATATTTATGCTCTAAAAAAAATTCCATCTATCGTGTCATAACATTTTTATGTCGTATTCGAAGTAATAAAAAAATATTTTTAACACAAAAAATATTTTCATGTCGAGTCAATTATGTTGTGTCGCATATTTCATATTTACAACAATTCATATAATACTATATAATATTTTTTAAAAATTAAAAAATATCTATTTTTTTTATATATAATACTTGTTAAATTAACTATTTTCTATCTACAATTGTGTTATTCGTATATAACTTTAATTTAATTGGACAATCAAAAGATTTGTGTCTAACTGTAGATAAAAAATAACTATTTAACGAATATTACAGGCAAAAAATAGGTATTTTGTATATATTTTTTAAATTTAAAAAAATATTTTTTTTTATTGACTCGAATACGTTACGAAGATTTTATGATACAATATAATTAAGAGCTATTTAATAGTATTAATGGATGTAATTTTTTTGGGATCATAAATATGAAATATTTAAATTTTAAGAGATACAATTTATAATTAGTCTAAATTTTTTTAATAGCAAAATGAACGAAGTTAGCCTCATGTGCACATTGATACAAATTTATGTCTTTTAGTGTATAAATTAATATTTTCAAATTTCGAGAATAAAAATTAAGATTAAGTGATCTTTCGAAATACAAATTGATTTTAATATTAGAATCTAATAATATAATTTTAATACAATCATTGCATTAATTATAAGTTTTTTTGTTAGATTAAGTTTCCTACCGATCTAACGAGTATATTGAATTTCCCACAAAGGCTTATGGAATGACTGTTGGATGGACCCACCCAGAAAATTTAGTCACATCGAACTTTTATATTTCTTTCGTTCCTAAATATTTATTGTTTAAACTTTTTTTACAAAGAATAAAGAAGCTATTAAATAGTTCTAATATGAGTAAAAAATAATTACATAAGATTAAAATACTCTTATTCAATATGTATTGGGAAAAAAAGAAATATGAAAGGTATTTAGCCTCCACCTAATCTAATGCATTGAAAAAATAAGGATAAATTTAGAAGAAAAAATATTAATTATACTTTGGTTTCATTAAACGACAGATATTATGAAATAAAAAAAATTATGTAAAATAACATATATTTAAAAATGAAGAGAGTAATACGAAACATTTGGTCTGAGTTTATTCGGCAGTCAGATTGAATTCTAATACGCGTTTAACAACCATTAAATTCCTAGTTTATTTTGTATTGAAGTTGACTTCGAAGGCGCCTTTAACAACTACTTAGGTTTCGTTTAGTTGCCGTATTAAAAATAAATAGATTGGATAAAATAATATAATTTAATACAATACAGATAGATAAAAAATAAGATTAAATATGATATTAAAATAATACATAATTTTATTTAGTGTTTGATAATACATAATATAAACGTTACGTAATAGTTATTTAATCAAATCGGTTATTTGGTTAGAAATTTATTTCATCGTATTAATGTTGAATTAATAAAAATACTTTAAATCAGTGTTTGTTACATTGATAACAACTTAATTTTATTACTTTGAAGGTTAAAATAATAAATGTGTAGAATAATACGATTGAATTGAATTATAATGCCACTTTTCTTGGTTGTTTTAAAAGACCTTCATAATATAGGTTTATCGTACAAAAAATATACGATAAATATTCAATTAATATACCTTTTTTGAAATTAATATAGTATCAAAATTTATTTACCAAAAAAAATATTAAACTCGATTATATAAAAAATAGTACAATTTAATATTTAATCCCTTCATAACACTTATATCAAACGAACTTTTAAATGTTAGTTTTGTCTGAATTTATATTGAACCTGACTAGTTCAACTCATGTTTTATTAATATATTTGAACAGTTAAGTATCTATTTGGGAAATTTGGGGCGGGTCCTTTTGTGGACTTAAGTCCACTTAAAAAATTTATTTAGGTATAAGTTTATTTTGGTCTTTATTGTCTAAAATATTTTCAATAATTATATTTAATTAAAATAAATTTAAAAACTAACAACTCTTAAATTTTAAGAGTTTTACTAACATTAAAATTGTTTATCTATCATATTTATCTATTAGTCATAATTTGTGCCTAAAGACACGATGTTACTTGTAAATAAGTTACAAATATTTGCTTTGCACAAATACAAGGTATATCACAACATTTTAGCAAAAAACGATGAAAACGAGCTCACTCACCTCTCCTCACAATTTCGATAAAATATATTCTAGAAACATATAATTTGACCAATGACGGTACTCAAAATATTTTCCAACCATAAGGTCGAACCAGGAGGTTAGACCAAGAGGTCAGGTCCAGAGGACAGACAAGTAGGTTTGGATAAGAGGTCAGGAAAGATGCGCAGAGCTCATTAGAGCTAGAGCTCCCCCCCTAGACACACCAACAACGGGAGTGATAAGGAGACAACTGGATGATAACAGAAATTTGTTAGGTGACAAAGAGCCATAGTCAAGACATAAAATCCTGAACCAGTCAAGATCCTCTCCTAAGATCAAGGAAAAGTCCTCAGATGAATATCAAAGATCTCAGTGCAGATCCCATGGAACTAGTAACAACCCTATAAATATTATGTAACTCTCCCAAAGTAGGGGGAGAACCCTAGTAATATAAACTCTACTTTGTGAACTTCTGAAGGAGAAGAAAAGAAAAAAGGACCAAGAGTCTCCATTAAATAGTGGACTATAATTCCATTATGTCAATCCCCCAATTTTCCATTGATATTATTCGTCGCTCTTTCGAGCCTCACAGCTTAGGTCCTAAGAGCTAGATATTGATCATCCAATCTGCTCATAAATCTACGCCACGTTGATTATCAGCATCAATTTGGCGCCGTTTGTGGGAACGATTGTTCCTGTTACAAATACGTTGATCTTTTAGTGACTGATGATTTCAACTCGTAACATGAGCAGAAGCCAAAACAATCTATCACAAATGCAAAAACAATAGGAAGTCGCCAACGACAGACAACCTGAGAATGTCCCAGAGACAAATCCCCCATAGGGAATCCCCACTCGAATAATGAGTTGGAGGCCCTTCGCTTGGTTAATCAGCGCCTGATACGGTAAAATGAAGAGCTCTTAAAGCTCTTACGATGCCCTAAGGAGGCACGACCGGCCCAAGAAGGCCAAAGTAACCCTCCTCATAGAGAGAAACAACATCTTGGCACCCCAAGAGAAGTTGATGAAGGAGGGAAAAACAGTCAGACCTGGGGACAAGATCCTTATTCACCTCCAAGGAACGGACGCAACGAAGAGGTGCAAAGTCAAAACGTGGGGGAAGAAATGAATGATTTTCTCCCCTATCAACAGGAGATGAGAGAGTAGTACTGGGAACAACGCTTTAATGGTATCCAGCAAGAGCTCAGTCATATGAAGGAAGTTGTGAAGAACAAGGTTCTAGTTACAATGGATGCCCTGGTGCAACAAATTGAGTCACCATTCACCGTAGGCGTGTTGCATTTTTCCCTCCCCCCAAAGTTCAGAATGCCGCAGATAGAAGTTTTATATGGGACAAAGGACTCCGTGGACCACCTAAATACTTATAAGAACCAGATAGAACTCCACGGATACCAAGACCTAGTGCGCTGTAGAGCCTTCGCCATCACGCTAAAAAGGTCAGCCCTGACATGGTTCAATAGGTTCCCCCCAGCCTCGATCTCCTCTTTTAAAGAGCTTTCTATATCCTTCGTATCTCACTTTATAGGAGCTCGGATATACAGAAAGCCGAGCTACCACTTATTGAACGTGAAGTAAGGACCCCAAGAGAACCTCAAGTCTTATGTCCAGCGGTTCAGCTCAGAGTCCCTAAAAGTGGACGTCCCAAATGAGAAGTTTGTTATTACAGCGTTTATAGCAGGTCTAGGCGTGCAATCCAAATACCTAATGTTCTCTATTTCAAAGAACCCTTAGGCAAGCATGGCTGAGGTATTGGCTAAGGCAAAAAAATACATAAACGGTGAAGAAACTCTTCTCTCAAAAGTGGGAAGTTTATTTACGCAAAAAGATAAAGGGAAAGAGGAAAAGAAAAGGGATCGTAGTCCTAGAAGAGAAAGAGGGGGTGATAGGTCTCCAAGAAGAGACAGAGATCGCTCCCCCAAAAGGAGGGGGGATGTCAGAGACCGCTTAGGTCCGCCACAGCCAGAGCTACAGCCAAGGTACGCACCCTGGCAGCTCCCCTCACTCACCGCAATGATATCCCAGATCTTATATGAGGTGCAAAGCGAGAAGTTTCTAAGGTGGCCACCTCGGATGAAAGCAGACCCCGCAAAGAGAGATCCCACAAAGTATTGCAAATACCATAGGGATCATGGCCACTATACTGACGATTGTATCCAATTGAAGAAAGAGATTGAGTTCCTAATCCAGCGAGGTTAGTTGCGCCGTTATGTAGTTCAGGATAATCAGGACCGAGCCCCTCCACCTCTACCACCTCAGCAACAGGCTCCTGTGTTGCATCAACAACCCCTGGGTGAAATTAGAGTGATTTATGGAAGGTTTGCAGGGGGTGGGGAGTCCAATTCTGCCCGGAAGGCTCACCTGCACACAATCAGAGCTGGCAAAGCA